AAAAATTTACTGCTAATTTAATCACATAATCAAAAAGTGACAATTATTTCATATTGATCTTTTAGAATTTACTGATGCATTATTGTTAATTTAACATTAAAAAGAAGATATATACTCTGTTCTATATGTATTTCTAGGTATCTGAACTAATTCAGACTTCTAACTCATGCATTTTGCTAATTGATCTTTTATGTCTTAGTTGATAAGACCTTTCATCTGTTGAATTTATCTGTTTCTCCCCATGGAAATTTTAGTTGTTTTGTTTTGTCAAGTGTATATTTTTAGCTTCATATATGTTCACAATTATTGTACCTTCTTGGTACCAGTGACATTGCTCATTGTCCCTTTGGATGCTTTTGCCTTTGAATTTTATTTTGTCTTGATATTAAAATTTTGATAGATATTCCCACTTGTGACTGCTAAAAAGGTTATACTCATCTATGCTTCTCTTGACTTACACTGTATGAGACTCCTTGTTTCCCCACACTCTCTAATGTGACACAGTTTAAGGCCTATGCATGCTGGCTTTCTCACTTTATTGGTAGCTTAGGAAACTGGACGCATAGTTCCGGCACTTTTAATCTTAATTTTACTCACTGCCTATCATATTCCAATCACAATCTTCTTAATTGGTTCACTCTACACAGTGTCCTGACTGCATTAAAGGATGGTGCTTGGAAAATCTGACTTGATTATGTATTAAATCACATTTTATCCTTCCTGTTGGGGTTGCCCGAGGACTCAGTTTGCTCTGAGGACAGGGTCGGCCCAGCTTCTCACCCAGACGTGTCTTCCCTTAGGGTGTGCTGTGAGCAGAGTGTAGACTGTCTCCTACTGTCATTACCCTGCATCAGTCACAGGCACGAAGACGGTCCGCTGTGGCCTTCTGCTTACTGCTGATATGTGCCTCACTCAGCCCAAGCTTCAAGGAGGCAGAGGCCAAGTAGGTGAAGAACAGACTCTGTAATCCTGCTGCATTGCTGTTGGTTATGCTCGTGCACCCTGGTGCCTGAATTCCTAGCGTGATTTGGAGATGTTGAGCTTCACTGATTCCCAATCTTGGCCCTGACCTGAATGACTCTTGAATTCTGCTACATGACTGGTAAAATGTTGGTGGAGTTTGCTGCTTCCCTGAGGCCACTGTGTGACATCTTTTTCAGGGAGTTATATCACTCAGGGAACTAATATCTCCTGCCCCCTGTGCAGTTCTTCTTAACATTCCCCTCAGCCTCTGTCTGCCTTTCCCTCACCCTCACCTCCCACGTGTTCTCTTTGTGCTGTCATAAATAGCCAGGCTCCTTGAACAGCTTCTATAGAAGCTTAAAGGTAACATCTTTTGCATCTGTAGAGTATTTTATATTCTTCAAAGCACTTCAGTATACATATTATTGTTTGATCTTCACAAAAACCTTTCAGGTATGTAGGTTAGGCATATTATCCTGACTTCACCGATGATGGAATAGAGACCATAATTAGGTGACTCGCCCATCCTCAGGCACTTTGTTAATGTGGACCTGGTATTAAAACCCCAGTTGGTTTTGCTTGGTGGTTTCATCCGTTCATTCATTCATTCATTCATCCATCCACTCATGTTATACCGAGAGGCCCCAGCATGGAAAGAGCCAGGGCTTTTGAACCAGACGAACTTGGGTTTGGAACTTGATGCCATTCCTTATTAGCTGTGTAATCTTAGTCAGGTACTTAAACTCTTCAGGGGATCAGTTTCCTCATTTGTACCGTAGGGAAAAACTATGACTTAGAATGTTTTTTTATGAGGATCTACTAATGCATGAAAATTGCCTGGCAATCATAGTGTGTGACATATGGTAAGTTGAACTATTATAAGTCAAAAATGGTCAAATATCAGCAATTTTACATGATTTAACTTAATGGTAGAAACACAATATTGGCTACCATTTACTGAGTTTTTTCCTCTTGTATGTGAGGCTATATTAGAGCCCAAGAACATAAGTAGAAATGAGAGAACATATTCTTTATGTGTCTATATCGTCTTCTAGACTATGGTCCTGAGGGGTAGAGCCTGTGTCTGGTGCATTCTCAGCATCAAAAACAATGCCTGCTAGAGAGTAGGTACTCAATCAGTGCTTCCTAAACTGAAAAGGCCCCCTGCTCACAAGGAGGTTATTAACTAGTTAAGGTGGGCACACAGGTAATCGTGTAGTTATAATGGAGTGTTACCTGCAGTTAGACACACACAGGCTGTGCTGAGAGCCCAAAGGAAGAAGTGCTCAATGATGCTGGGGGAGGGTGAAGTGCACGGGACAGCAGGGGACAAAACTTCACAGAGCAGCTGCGTCAAGACTTACCAGGGTCTGTATGAGCAGGGGGGCAAAACCACTTTGCTTGTCTTAGACTACATGCTTTCTCCCAGCTCACCCCCTCCTAACGTTTGCAATTGAGTTTGTATTCAAAGCAGCCTCTTTGTTTGTCTCACAGTCCCTCTGTTCCTGGTATCTCCCGTAATGGATTGCTCTGTAAAGTGCTTCGCTCTATTCTGAGTATAAAAGAGATGCTCGGTAAAACCAGATCCTATTCTTTGAGTGTCACAACTAGCCATTGCATAACAAAGCATAATATATATTGTGTAAGAAGAGATAGAGGAACACGAGATATTTTAATGACGGCAAATAAAACATCAAAGTGGGAGAGTGTAGAGTGCATTAAAGTTAATAAACTGTCATGGCAGAGTGGACCACTTTTAAATGGGAAAGAAGCTAATTTAGTGACTTATAACTGTTGCATCAGAATCCCATTGGAATGACGTTAGCCATGAGTTTTGCCAAATTCCAAATCTTTTGGTTCTTTTTGAGAACCAGTTCTTGGAATTGAACAGATATATATACTACATATATATATTATATACCTATACACTATATAATATATATATTATATATAATATAATTTTTTTGGTCCACAGCTCTTTGTGATGCTAACCCATCCGTCTTCCTCTGAATATTCACTGCTGCTCAATTCTCTAAACAGTGTTGCTTTTCTTTCAGCTCTGGGAGGAGGAATTCAGGTCCTGCCTCATCTGCTAGATTGGGTACAGCCGGTCAGCCTGGGTTTTCAGGGCTCCTGTAGTCATTCCTGTTTACACAGAGACACCAAGACCAGAAAACTGTCAGGAGTAAACTTTGCTCAGGCGTGAACCACTGAGCTACCGGTCTTATTCACAGGAGAGAGACAAGGCGATCGATACAGGGCTCCTTCTTGGCAGTGGTGAAGGATGACTACAACAGTAAGAGTTCCAAAATGTTTTCTGCCAAGAACCGGATTGGATTTTGTGCTTCTTCAGCCAAAAAATGTCCCCAGCATCTTACTCTCAAATCATTAATGCCCTTTGCAGTCAAGACTGACTGTTTAGCCCGAATGCTTCTTTATCTTTCTTTATTCAGTGACTTCATAATAATTGTTTTCTTTTTGTTAGCTAAACTCTCAAAGTTTTTAGATTCCTAACCTCTCACCCCTCTACCCTTTTTTTTCAAACAAATAGGAGAACTTAAGCAGCATTTTCATCCTTGATTGCATCTTCTCTCTCTTTGTAGAAGAAAGAGAGATGCCGGTTTGGGTTCTGAATGCAGTTTGTAGAATATTTTCTTGGAATATAAAAATGCTATGTTTATATATTGGCATTGCGGTGTAATGCCATTGACCATGGGCAATTACATAACTGTTTTGAGCTTCTCTTTCTCCATTTGAGAAAGGGGAATAAAATGTCCAATTTATAGACTTTCCATGAGAACCAAAGATACTGAATATAAGGTAATGCCTCACATAGTCTACAGCATATAACAGATGTACAATAAAGGATTATTTAAAACAAATCAAAGCAACACAAGCGGAAATAGTTGTGTTAAAATTAGAGGAGGTCTTGGAGAATGATCAGAAACATAAAGAGAAATGACCAAGACATATACTCTGTAGACCACTGTGTCCTTAGTCTGGTGCAAAGTACAAGATTTAGGGGCATATGTGGAAGTTAGAAAGGCAAGAGTTCTTTGTTGGTAAAAAGTGGCGAATCATATGCAAATATGGAATCAGTCATTGGAGGGAAGTCACTGCTATACAATGCCATCAGAAAAAAAAAAGGAAAATGTTTCAAAGGTGGCTTTATTACTGTAGCTGTTAATAATTATTTTTCTGTTCTGATATTTTGATGTATAAACAGATCAGAATAATACTGTTCCTTATAATAATTGATGATAGGAGAGACAGTGTAGTATGATGCAATGGAATACAAATTAGAATACAAAAATCAGAATATCTAGGTTCAGGTTCACTTAACTGGTTTCTGGTCTTGGACAGATCACTTAGCTTCTTTGACCCTTGGCTTCAACATCTATAACATGGGGATAGTAATATTTTTCTTATTTTTTTCCCTACTGAATTATTGTAAGGGTCAATTGAGATGATGTTTTTAAAAGCACTGCCCACGTATAGGTTGTTCTTGTGATTTAATAGCAAGAGCCAGATACTAAAAGGGCCACTGAAGAATTTTCTGGCTGTCGTCCTCTTTGAGGCAAACACGGGGTGAGGGCAGCAGCAATATGGGGCTTATGTATCTGCAGTTCCCTATCTCCGCTGTATCCGGGCCATCTTCCTTTGCTAGCTGCTGGTTTCCCTTGGTCCAAGAGCAGGTCAGGGGTGGGTTGTGGCAGGAGTGCCAGGGTCATGTAGCAACAGCAGGGCCCCTCCCAGAGTCTCCCGAGTGCGTGTTCTTGGCATGGCTACCTGGACCACTTGTATCACTTTCCCTCTTTTGTCTCTGTAGCTGCTGATGACTATAGCAGTGGCATCCTTTATTGTCTTGCTCAGGGATTTCTGAGGCCTTTGAAAGTTTCTAGGCTAGTAGACAGAGGTTGGATGCGACAATCCGTGAAAGGAGATGAAGTCCTTGTCTTGCAGTGGCCAGCCTCTTCAGAGCCAGGTTGTGTGGTGTGGGTCCTATCTTAACCATTTTGCTCTCTTTGTGTTTGCAGGGAGTCGACGAGCTGAAGATGAAGCCCAGGGCAGAGTGCTGTTCTCCCAAGTTCTGGTTGGTGTTGGCCGTCCTGGCCGTGTCAGGCAGCAGAGCTCGTTCTCAGAAGAGCGCCCCCAGCATTGGCATTGCTGTCATCCTCGTGGGCACTTCAGACGAGGTGGCCATCAAGGACGCCCACGAGAAAGATGATTTCCACCACCTCTCCGTGGTGCCCCGGGTGGAGCTGGTAGCCATGAACGAGACCGACCCAAAGAGCATCATCACCCGCATCTGCGACCTCATGTCTGACCGGAAGATCCAGGGGGTGGTGTTTGCTGACGACACAGACCAGGAAGCCATTGCCCAGATCCTCGATTTCATTTCAGCCCAGACTCTCACCCCCATCCTGGGAATCCACGGGGGCTCTTCCATGATCATGGCAGATAAGGTAACAGGGGCTGTGGTGACAAGAGGCGGGGACGTGTGCAGAGGACTGAACGATGTATTTGTTTGAATGCCAGACTTGGCTGTCAATGAAGGACGGGGCCAGCATGCATTGGGAGAGTCGATAGACCGGGCATTAGTCTAATCATGTGAAGATGAAAGTGAGGGAAAGCTGCTGGTATCTAGAAGCTCCTACAGATTTCAAGAACTTTGTGTGTCTGTCTGTTTGTAAATAGACTCGCTGACATGACTAAGAGATAGATGTTGGTGCTCATAGCTCTCTGGTACATTTACTTCAAATACGTACTTGAATAGCAAAATTTTAAAATAAGTCATATTCCATTATTCCTTGGTAATACATGAATACATGTTCTCACCCATACTGGTTTCAAGAATATGAAAAGAAAAATCCCCTGAGGCAGGGGATTCCGTTCCTGATGACAGAGACAGGTGTCATAGGGAAGTAATTCCTGCTGAGATATCCATGCTCGTCACACATACTGATCTGCACGTTCAGATAGATTTTAACCCACAGAACCAGTAGCCGCCTCGTTTTCCTCATGCTTAGATGTGAAGGCATTGGGTCTTGAGCTTGGTCACACACTGGAATTCTCATTACTGGCCTGGCCTTGCCTTCAGGATTTTTACAAACTCCCCGGGAGACTCCAGTGTGCAGGGAAGATTGACAACACTGCTTTAAAGTCTCCAATAAATCCCAGCCTCCCCTGCACTAATGTTCGATCAATTGTCCTATGACTAATTAGCATCTGACATTGATGCTTATTCTCTGACTGCAGAAATGGTGTTTTATTAAATACTTTATGGTTGGATATGTGGTGTTTTTATGTGTTTTCAGTTATTCGGTTATTTTTCTTTGCTTTATTGATTTATTGTTCATTGCTTAGACGTAGCACTTCTCACATATGCATTGTCCTTTGTAGTCATTCATATCTTAGGATGATTCATCTCGCCCCAAGTGCAAGCTGCATCATTTTTCATCATTTGGGGGTTTTTATGATTGTCGTTGTCAATCTTATGCTTATCACCACTTCCAAAACTGCCTTTAGCTTTTTACTTAAAAGACGTACTGTGGAGTTAATGATGCTTGTCTGTGCCTTAAAACCTGGCACAGACGTCACAAGCGTGGTGTACTTGACCAGTTGAGAATCACCACAGTGGAGCTGGCTTAGCAGAGGCTAAAATCACCTTGCGTGACCACCATCGCCACCTGTCGGCGGCAGGCAGAGACGACTGGCTTCTGTTTCAGAGCATCCCTTTATTCAGTCTGTGAAAGGTCAAGTTGAAAGTGTTAAGTGGAGGAATTTCAGTGCCCATTTACATGGGTGCGGGTACAGATGCTAGAAAACAAATGCTGGCATGAGCAGCCCATGCTAAGGGAAGTGGCATAAACTTAAGCAAAATGCAAAATGGAGACTGACTATGGCAAAACCTACTGAGTTTTGCTTCAGGTAGATTTTTTTTTTTTTTAAACATCATTATCCTTAGAAATTATATTTTAACAGTGGTATTTTGAGGGCTCAATATTGCAGTGAAAGAATGACAGTATGGATAAGAGCCAGATTTTAAAATCGTAAGTGTGTTTTGAGAGTACACTTATTTTAAATCAAAGTAAGTTATTTTGAGAGCACAATAGGTAAAATAATTTTTTTTTTTTTTTTGCTTATGGGGGCTATTGTGCAGCCCATGTTGTTTCCCCCCAGTAGAAAAGGTTATGCCTAAACTGGTTGGGTTGCTTCTCTCTGGTACCTCTTACAAATCCACAACATCAACATAAAAATATGAGGTAAGATGCAGACCATGTGGAGAGACTGAACTCTCGTTCACTGGTATATCCTAGGTGCTTTGAGAGTGTGTACCGCGTGTTAGGCACTTAGTGCAGTGCATGCAATATCTTATTGAATACCCTTAACTACCCTGTGAGCTAAGTGGTATTTTTAAATCTCTGTCTTAAAGATGGGGAAACTGAGGCTTAGGGAGGTTAAATAACATATCCAAAGTGCTGTAGCTAGTAAGTGGCAGCCAGGACTTTAACACTGGTTGCTGGCTCCAAAGGCCAAGTGCTCTATTGCCTCTTAAGAAAATGATGGGGTTGGTTAAGGTCTCATATATCTTCCTATCCATCACTTTCTCCTCTGTTCTGTAGCATTGTGGGAGATGTCATATGATGAAAGTGGGTCCATCACTTGATTCTTAATCAGGCAGTACTGGAATCTAACGACAAGAGAGCATTAGCAGAGATATGAAATGGTGGCGCTCTTAGGTGTAGTCCAGTTCCAGAGGGGGCCCACTGGCTACTGTCCTTTGGGTAAAAGGGAGAATTGAAGCCAGTAAAGTGGATTCTTCCACGTCAATGTCATACGATCCTGTCTGGTCCCTCCTCCCTCCTACTCTCCCCATTGGCACCATACCCAAATATTCCATCTTTTCTCTTCTCTCCATTAAAAAAAAAAGGAGGTGGGCAATGGTTTTTAGACAATTTTCGAAAATAGCCTAAATATCGAACTGAAAAGAAGAGTTTTTAAAGGGTAGGCAGCAGAGGAAAAATAAGAGAGAGGGAGATCCTAATGATGGATACACTGGAGAGTTGGGGGCGCAGTCACAGTTGGACGCTGAGTGGTGGTGGCCCAGGAGCAGGAGCCACCTGGGTGGCAGCACCCGGACGCCCAGGAGCGGTGCAGAGGAGTGTTTGCAGGCTTAAAGGATTTGCATGGAGGCAAAGAAGAAGAATCTCCTAGATCTCAGGGAAATAAGCCTTGGGGACAAGTTTCAAAAATAGAACACCTCAAAACTAAGGCCAGGTTTGTTTGTTTATCTTAAATAGAAGTTTATTTTTAGGTACCACGTGCATATTTTACAAACGTGGAATGAGGGCGCACAGTTTGACAACTGTGAACCGACAATGGAACGATGGGAAGGAGCAGCTGAAAGTGGAACGGGTGCCGAGAGTTAAGACAGGTAGCTTGGCCACAGTTCAGGCATGTCGTCACTGTCTGAGGCACGACAGATAAGCCTTCCGTCTGCCTCCCCCCTTCCAGGAGAGCAGTGATTGCCAGTCTGTTTTAACTGAGGTTTTTGCTGTTCGTTTGTTTTGAATAAAACTCACTTGTTAAGGGCTCTTGTGGAAGATTGTGTTACAGGGGTAAAGCCTCTGTCTTCAAGGAGTTTTTGGTGTAGGAAAGATGGCACTGTTAAGACTTTGGACCAAAGCAAAGACACAGTTCGGCAGCTCAGCATCTGGTCAAATAGCACATGCTCACTTTTTTTGCACATGCTAGTTAGTCAGTAAACACATTAATCAGTGCTCTGCTTTTCCAGGGAGAAAATGCACTTCATCTGATGGCAGAAAGAAGTCTGGGAACTAGCAGAGCAGAGCTGTTAAAAGCTCAGAATTTAGGGTCCGAGCTGGTTTCAGGCATCCCTTCCCAGAGGTGGGAATCTGGACTAGTCACCAACCCTTGACTCTCAACCTTGGTTTCCTGCATAGCGGGTGCAATAACATATGCATTATATCCATTACAGGGTTGGTGAAGATTAAATGAAGGGATGTGTGGCAAGCACCTAAGTGTCCAGCACAGATTCTGCAGGTTAGGCTGAAGGTTGTGTGGAGTAGTTTGAAGAAAGTGAGAATGTTTCATGATACAGGAAAAGAATGAGAATTGAAAAGCATCACGAGATTGTGGAGACAATTCTGACTTGGAGACTAACCAAGAAGGGAGCTCAGGTGAAAATCTGGGGGTGGGTTGGGGAGAAGTCTTGGTTTCGCCTTCCCTAGGGAAGCCAAGGCTCGTGAGTGGTATGGAAGCCTGTATAGCCAAGAAGGGCATGCTTGATTAAAGAAAAGCTCTAACCAGGAAAGAACTGCTAGATACCCATAACAGAACACTATTTAGAATAGTAATGGAGAATGTTTAAAAATGTATGAGGTGCTTCTTGGCAGTGCCCCACCTGAGTATAAAGAACCTATTTTATTTTGCCTTGTTATAATTGCTTTTATTCTCCCTGAGATCCTGGATTTAAGATGCCCATCTGAATCCAAATAATGAACTAAAGCTAGATGTATTTCCATTTCTGTCTAGGAGGTTTCTCTACTGATTGTCTGAAATCTTTCTTGGGTTTTTGGATTTTAGCTTAGAAAGGTTAAGTAACTAATCCAGGATATCACAGCTCACAATTAGCAAGGGGCCTAGGAGTCAAACCCCAGGAATACCTGTTTTGAAGCTTGTGCTTTCTATTATACAATTCTGCTTCACAAAACACTGAACTGAGAATTGTAAGTCTTGAATTTCAGCCTCCATTCTGATGAGTCTGGGAAATTTGGGCAAACAAATGTCTTAAGCTACACGATACTCAGTATATAGCTCATGCGATACATATTTTTTGTTTTCTGCTCTACCCAACATTTTGAAGATACAATTAAATATATGTGGAAAATTCTGGAGCAGTTCAGACAGACACTCAGGTGAGGGAAATGAGAAGTGTTGATAGAAAGTAACAGAGTCAATGACAACTGCTTTGTCACCAGCATTCGGACCAATACAAAATGGCTTGGGCGGGAGGTAGGAAGGGAAACAGAAAGGTGGAAGGTTTAGTAGGATCGGGAAAAGGGATGCAAGATCCATTAATGCTGCAAGAATGGGAGAGAAAGGGTGTGTGAGTAAAGGGTCAGGGTCTAGAAATAGATGGGTTGATCAGGGAGAAGTACAGCAGCTAACACATGCATCATACTCTGTATCTGATTCCTCATTAGAGGATATGCAAAAGTATTGTGGGAGTCTGTTGCTATGATTCCTTCCTTTGTACATTGCTTGTTTGGGAGTTGAAGCTTTGAATAGCACTCTCATTTTCTTTTTTTAAAAATTCTTTATTTTTAATCATTATGGGTACATAATAGTTATATATATATATATATTTATAGGGTATATGCGATGTTTTGATCGGGCATACAATGTGAATTAATCAAATCAGGGTAACTGGGGTATCTGT